AAAAAAAAAAGACCCCTGTGGAAGTACCAGGACCGGAAGGAGTTCCCTGAGGGAGTTCTAAGTGGGGTTATCTTAGTAGATGCTCCAGACGCCCCCCACCCCCAGGCACACACATGAACATTAGTGTAGCCCCCCCCAGGCCCTCCAAAGGACCTCCTTCTGGCCTGTCATGCCATTGTCCCCTTAAGATAAGGTGACCAGATTTTAACATTGGTAGAGTGGGACACCATTGATAAAACTCATATCCTGGCGAAATAGCCACATGACAGCCGAAAACCGTATACCCTAGCTTGTCGTGCATTCTTTCAAAAAATCGGGACTTTTTAAAAACACCGTGGGATGCAGGAAAAATTGTTAAAAATCAGGACTGTCCTGCCAAAAGCGGGACGTCTGGTCACCTTACCTTAAGACCCTCATGTCTGTTCTCACCCCCCTACCCCCACCCCCTGCAACACTACCAGAGTCCTGCTCCGTACTGGGGTCCTGCTTAACTCCGTGCTTCTGAGAAAGCCTTCCTGGGCCCTCTGCTCCCACCTTGTGGTCACGGCCTATTCCTTCCCTTGGCTTTGGCGCACGCCCTGTCCAACTCCTTTGAGAAGCGTGTCTCATGCCTCTCGCGGAGTCTAGAGCAGTCACACACACACTTGCAGGTGGCTGTTCCCAGTAATTCCACCTCACACTCAGGCACCTGGGCTAAGCCTCTCCACCAGACCCCAGCCCTCATGATTGGCCAGGACAGTGTCCCCGCCCAGACCCCTGAGCTCCAGCCTGGGCAAAGGCTACTGGGCACTTGGAAAGTCCTGCCAGCTAGCCAGTCCCTCCCCCACCACCCACCCTTGCCTGTCTTGCACCCTCTACAGCCATGGCTTACTGTCATCAGAGGACAGGGTAATATGCACTTCCTGTCACATTGAGCCTTCACCCGGTGGCCCTGGGGCAGAGGCCAGCATGACCTTCACTTTATTAAGGTTGCAGAGTTAGGGACCATACAACTGCCAAAATGAGGACCTAATGCCGGGGGCTTGAGTGGAGAGGAAATGTTTTGAGAATGATGAGGGCAATGAATGTACAAATGC